GCTGTTAGATAGCTTACTGATAATTACTGTCCTGTTGATCGTTGCTGCTGTGCTCTGGGTCCTTTGGACTTATAAAAACTATTGAAGTTGTATTTTTTCCATCATTCCATCCTGAAAAATAAAACATAGTCCAATTTAATCTTGACACATCCTGATTGAAGTATATTTATTACATTAAAGTACTGAAGTATATTTGACATTCATGCTAACAATGAGTGGAATGAAACTTCTGAATTCAAAAACTTCCTAGACAACTTCTGAACATAACGTTCTATCTTATGTGCTGAAAAATACTGATTGTTTTGGATTTTATTCATTTTTTTTATTGTAGAGGAGCCTGAGGAAACAGAGGAAAACTCAAATGTTATGATGTTACCTTCCCTGGCTAGAGTCAATACTCATAACATCAAATCTCTGAAGGTGTTGGAGTTCAGGTGAGTCACACATCTGCCTCTTCTTTGCTTCAATCATAATTAATTTAACAGTTTTGTTTTAACACAAATATGTTGTCATTTCTAGTTGAGATTAGTTTTAGAAGGAGTGGAATGAGATCACTAAAGATCCTGCTGTTTTGTGAAAAACCTGCCTCATGAATTTGACTTGTTGACTGGACAAATGATCACTTAAAATGTCAATTGTTTTTGTGGTAAAAGCATTTTCGATATAAAAATAATGTTAAAACCTTGTCCTGTGTCATTCTCTATGACCCAGGAGTCTTGTGACATGTGTCCAGTTGCGTCCTCAGTTTAAGCTCACAGTATTTAAAAATTGGATGTGCTTTACTAATAATCTATTTACAAGTGAACGTAGTGAAATAAATTCAAATTCCATTTTTAAATGTCCGTCGTGTTATGGTATAGTAGTCTACTTTAGTCTGTAAATTTTCGCTTGTCCCGCTCATAACTTCTGATCCGCTCAAGATAATTTAACGCAGTAGTGAATGATACACATCTGCATAATCACAACGTGGAGTGTTGCATATATTTTCCGTCGCCTTTGCTCCAAGGTTAAGGTCACAGACAAAGGTTATGCAATGCGTTTGCTTGTCTGGGTCATTGCTATAGATTGCTGTCTAAGAGTTTGTTGATGGTCATATAATGTGCCGTATGTGGTGCTCTAATTATAAGGCTGTCAGTCAGACAGTGTTCTAAAGTCATGAAAAGTTTTTGAAACAGTAATTTTCAACTCCATAGTGTTTTTTTAATTTACTTTCAACTCGTAAGGACTTTAATGTGCTTTCATCAATAAGGTGTTTATTGCCCTGTTGAAAGAGTTAAGTTAAAAGATTGTTGTAAATTAACTTTGTTGATGTCCTGATGCATGCGCAACAATCCAGGTAGATAAATCTGACAAGGCTGAGTGTGGTCCTCTGAATTCGTTCATCATTAAACAGGGGCGGGAGGCCTCCGAGTTCTACTGTCCTCCTCTTACAATGCTGTTATTGCTATTATCACTTAGCCCTCTGTGAAGAGCAAGCAACCATCGGGGCACTCACAAACAATTGTTGGGCTGATGGTTCTCCCTTTGCATGTGAACAACTAGTTCTGTCTGTCAGCAGCAAACTGGTTGATCCACTATGAGAGAAGGTGTTGTTTATAAGACTGAATTTGTTGCAGCTCCTCAGTCTGAAGAAGTCTTGGATAAAATACGAAACGTTTCAACAAGGAAAATTTGTCCAGAGGACCTGACTTAACTTTGTTAGAACTTGGTTGACGTTTTCATTTTTGGTGTTGGTATAGCACAGTGAATTTATTTCTGTATGTTCAGTGGCAAACAGGCCGATGTTATTCCAGAGGAGCTGTTTGACGCTGCAGCAAATCAAGACATAATCACCGTCAACTTCAGCAGGAACGCACTAAATTCCACGCCTTCTAGGTACACACAGCATCATGCATCTAATTTACAAAACAAATGCTACTGTTTTATATGCATGATTCACAAAACTAACAGCAACACTTTCTATGTACAGACTGCTGGAACTTCATTCATCAGTGTCGGATCTCAACCTGGGTTTTAACAAACTCACCAGCTGTTCTGACCTCTGCAAGTTACTGCAACTCACACACATCGACCTCAGGTATAAAGAAATGTCTCATACAATCCATTAGCATTCAGAATATGTGTTGGGAGTCGGTGCAGCCACCAGCACACTAATTTGTAGTTGTTTTATTTTTGTGTTTCTGGAAGTCATTTGGCTCTGGCAGCCATCTTGAATTGGATTGACTCCAAAAGGTACTCGGTTTTCGAGTACATGCCAGTTTCATTGAAACTCACACAGTGCTTCATGAAATGTCAGAGTCAGAGATTCTTTATTATCGTTCCACCACATGTGGTATATGTTGTGGAACAAAATTATGTACACAGGGTCCCAGTTACATCCAACAATAAAAATGTAAAAGAAAAACGGTGATAACATCCAAGATATGAACTAAGAAAAACATCAACTAATAATACACTAAGCACAAATAGCGTAAAAACATTACGTCGAACAGCAGCACGAACATGAGTCTGTGTGAGCAGGTGAGCACGCATGAACACATCAACACATCAATGTGTGTCATTAGGATAGACAGAACCAACAACTGAAGGCATTGATTAAAGTTCTCCATCGTGACGATGGATTTCTGTCAGTTTGAACGTGGCCAGGACAATAAAGTGAACCAGAGCCACAGTTTGAGCCAGTCAGAGCAGATCAGGGCGGGTCGTGCTGTCGGGTTCATGGGTGTGAGCAGCAGAGAGAAACTGCAGGTGAAAGCTCACCTGCAGCAAGTAATGGATGACTCCCCCACTACACTAACAGACCCCCACCCCCCCATGAAGGTGATGACATGCAATAAATTACTAAATGTCTATGTGTTAAACGTATGTATTTGTACATGACCAATACACTGCAGCTGGGGGAGATACCAGAACTGATACATCATCACCCCACCCACTCCTCCTTCACAGCGCCCCAACCTCCTCAGACTTTTGCATCTAAAATCAAACTTATTATTAAATGTTAATGTGTTGGGAGCGTCGTCATCGTACAGACATGTGCGACCTGTGCACGTGACCAAACTCTGGGTCAGAGAGAGAGACGTGCACCACTGTGGGAGCGCAGCCTGTTCAGTTTCTCTCTCGGTGAGAGGGGTTGTTTCTGCTGCTTTAGTATTTCTAAATAAATATTAACGCTAAAAGATGAATATTGATTTCCCAGATTATAGCAGAGGTGTGTCTGGGAGTTTTGAGAACAATTACAGTTCTCTCTCTCCATGAGAGTCTGTTTCATGTGTTTGTAGTTTATCATAAATATCTGAAAAAATCCATTTCTACATGGTGCTATAGCATTAACAAGGCACTGTGGCTGTTTGGATGAGCTGAGCTTGAATGCATTTAGAACCGGGTAATTGTACTCTAATAAATGTATATTAATAAATGATCAAATATGAAAAATAAATGATTTTAAATGACTACATGAGTTGAAATCCTATAAATATGATCCCTTTGAATAATTTTTTTTGGGGAGAAATTTGTCAGTCTGACAAAAAATATTAATACATTTTTACTCTGCAAAAGATGTCCTGTGCTATAATTAAAAAAAAATAGATTCAACCCTCAATTGAAAACACTGAAATGACATCAAACTAGAGAAAAGTTGTTACAATCCGTCTCGTCCTTAAGAATGATACTGGTCTGGATGGAGCTTCATTAGAGACACTATACTGTGTACTTTTACTAAGGTCACATACACACTATACTGTGTACTTTTACTAAGGTCACATACACACTATACTGTGTACTTTTACTAAGCTCACATACACATTATACTGTGTACTTTTACTAAGGTCACATACACACTATACTTTGTTCTTTTACTAAGGTCATGTACACACTATACTTTGTTCTTTTACTAAGGTCATGTACACAGAAAACTACTGTTACTTAGGTCATGTACATATTATACTGTGTACTTTTACTAAGATTATATACACACATTATACTGTGTACTTTTACTAAGGCCATTTTACGACTAACTGTACTTTTACAAAGGTCGTATACAGTTAACTGTTTACTTTTACTAAGGTTGTGCACACAGTATACTGTGTACTTTTACTAAGGTTATGTACACAGTATACTGTGTACTTTTACAAACCGGATTCCAAAAAAGTTGGGACACTAAACAAATTGTGAATAAAAACTGAATGCAATGATGTGGAGATGGCAAATGTCAATATTTTATTCGTAATATAACATAGATGACAGATCAAAAGTTTAATCTGAGTAATTGTAACATTTTAAAGGAAAAATATGTTGATTCAAAATTTCACAGCGTCAACAAATCCCAAAAAAGTTGAGACAAGTAGCAATAAGTCGCTGGAAAAAGGAAATTGAGCATATAACGAACAGCTGGAAGACCAATTAACACTAATTAGGTCAATTGACAACATGATTGGGTATAAAAAGAGCTTCTTAGAGTGTCAGTGTCTCTCAGAAGCCAAGATGGTAAGAGGATCACCTCTTTTTTGAATCCGGTTTGTACTAAGGTCACATATACAATACTGTGTATTTTTACTAAGGTCACGTACACACCATACTGAGTACTTTTACTAAGGTCACATATACAGTATACTGTGTACTTTTACTAAGGTCACATACACACTATACTGAGTACTTTTACTAAGGTCACATATACAGTATACAGTGTACTTTTACTAAGGTCACGTACACGGTATTCTTCTCTTTACATGAAAACATTTAAGAAGTGACCTGTATGCAGAACAAAGTTCTCAAGTGTGTGGTATGGCGCATGTGTGTGTGTATGTGTGTGTGTGTGTTGGGGGGGGGGGGGGGGTGTAACCTCTAGGTGTAGAAAAAAACTGTCAACATGTATTTTCTTCTTTATCCCTGTGAAGGTTTAATAACGGTACTGCTGCTCATTTCCTATTATCAGGAATAACCAGCTGAGTGATTTACCACCTGAAATCAAGAACCTCACTAAGCTACGTTCTGTTATCCTCAATTACAACAGGTTAGTAACGAGTTTAGAGGAAAACCACTCTTGAATGCTACATTTTGAAAAAATGGATTCTTCATTATCATTTGGACCCCCTTCACACTTAAAGATGGCGTCCATATGACTGTGGGGGAGGGAGAATTATCCAGATCTTGGTCTTGAGGAGTTTCTTGGAATGGATTTAGGATGCAGTGGCTTCTTCATTGTGATCATTGTTGTTGATCATGGACTCGTCAGCTGGATGCAGACCACTGACAGTCCACCTTCTGTCCTCACCAGGTTCAAGTCCTTTCCTCAAGTCCTGTATGAAGTCCTGTCCCTGGAAACGGTACTGCTGGGAAATAACCAGGTGTGTGGGGTGGATCCTGGACGTCTGATAAAACTGGTTCATCTGACAACCCTGGATCTGTCCAACAACGACCTGCTGAACATCCCTCCAGAACTGGGCCTGTGTACCAGCCTCAGGTGAGCAGAGCAGGTGTCATTTTGGTGCAATAAGTCAACTGACTGTAAGTAAACATAGGCTTGATTCATTATTACACACTTTAACTCCAATTAAGCTGTCTTTGTTTGAATAATAATAAAATATATGATGGTGGAGTCTGGGATACAGTCATTGTCTCTGTGTGTGTGTTGAACCTCAGGTGCCTGAGTCTGGAGGGGAACCCTTTCCGAACTCCCAGAGCAGCAATAGTGGCCAAAGGAACTGATGCAGTGTTGGAGTACCTGCGCAGCCGCATACCTGCTTGACCTCTGACCTCACCTGGGAGTTCAACCTGGTTGAGCACATTTCACTGCCTGGTCTGTGGTTTTAGTCAAATGTTTACAGGAAAAACCTGCCTAAAGAGTTTTAATCCTTTTCATCAGGTCTGTCTGAAACCAAGCAACATTTATAACAACAGTGATTTGAAACATTTGTCCTAATAAAGTTGATTTCATTCTAACTTTTCATTCATTCAACCTTTATTTATACATGGGTATAAATAACCCATTGAGCCCCGGGTACTCATTTACAAGAGAGACCTAACGGTGAGGGACATGAATGCTGTCTGTTCAAAGATGAGTTTAATTTGCTGTTTGCTACAGCTCTCTACAGTTCTACAGTTCTCCACGCTGCAGCTCTCTATAGCCTAGAAAGGGATCAAAGACTTCAAACATCTAAAAGTTACAGGTAGCAAGTGGGAAAAGAAAATCAACCCTGTTGAAATTCCAGGATTACGGTAATAAGAAGAATCTGGTCTTCACCAGGCTGATCCAGGAGCTGCTGATGAACTGAGCACCATCAGGGGGACCACATCTAGGGACTTCTGTCGTTATTGTGGACAGATACCTCATCTCAGATTCTCAACTCTGGACCAGGCTGTTTTTTTCCAGATCTGCTCTGTGGTTGAAGGGTAGAGATCCCACTCCTGCTAAGAAACTGGACTCTCCCCAAAAATCCCAGAACTCATCAGGTAATCAGCAAACCTTCTTTGTGCTTAAATGTCTTTGGGTCTTAGAGGTCCTCCTAGAAACCGGGTCAGAATGATTTAAACCAATCAGATCTGTGGTCACATGACCTTTAAAGTTCAGGTTCTGCTGGGTCCAGGGCTGCTATCCTGGTGGGTTTAGGTCTTGCTGGTCTCAGGTTGGGTCCAGTTCTGCAGCCTCTCTGCAGGGAGTGTACTTTCAAATCATCCGTTTTGTGTGCTTGTAGCACAACGATCCAATACGGCACATGCGCAGTGCCGAGGGATCGCTTTGGCCTAAAAATTGTGAAAATTTCTGGCAGTGGGAAGTAGAACTGGGACCAGGAGAGCCTGGAGATGGGCAGAAATGAGGGGGATGAGGAGGACAATGAAGATGAGCTCTTGGAGGTCCAGATCCCCATAGGGGAGGAAGAATCCGGAGGCCCAGTAGCGGTCCTGATGCAGAACATAGACCAAGGACTGGGGGGCTCACTCAGCAGCACGAGGCTCTCTGGGTTCTGGTCTAGCGAAGATCTTCAGCGATCAGAACTGAGCAGGCTGATTGAGAACATCCGGCTGGCCACTCGGTACGCAGTTCGGATCTTCAGAGAGTACCTGAGTGGAAAAGCTGAGATTCTGGACTTTGAGGGTCTAGATAAGGACACCCTGTGGATGCTCTTACCCTCCTTATATGCAGATTCACACTCCTGGAGCAGACAGGTCTACAGCAAATCCTCCCTGATCAGCATCAGGAGTTCCCTTAACCGGTACCTTAACAAGCTGCCCCACTGCTGGATTCTGGACCTGACAATGGACCCAGAGCTGCGCAGCACTAATCTGATCCTGCCCATGGTGATCTGGAGCCTGGAGGTGCACAGAGGGTCCCCTGGCCCAGAAACAAGCCATCACCTGTTCGGACCTGCAGATACTACGATCCTCCATTTTCTAAACAGAAACCCCGTTCAGCCTGCATGTAATTCTGCACCTGGGGCCGGGAGAACCAGAGGGATCTGGAGGAGGACTTGTTTGGTCTGGCCATGGATACACAAGGATGTAGGTTTGTGCACCTGAAGGCTCTTGGACTGGACCGCCAGTCTCATTTACCTGGACCAAGAAGCATTCGGAACCAGACCAGGACCTGCCGCGGATGTACGCAACCGGCACAGGGCAGTGTCCATATGTCGGCTTCGTCCGGTTTAACAGAGTAATCTGTCTAAGTTTATTTATTGTTTGTTTATTCTTAATGGTATTGGGAATTAAGGTAAATAAACCTTTTTTCAAACTAGGAGTCAACATCTTTCTATACATGAATTTATAGGGGGGCCGAGATGGGGTAGAGGTAGGGCAGCCAACCTGGGACCAGAAAGTCGCGGCTCGACTCCCCAGTCATTCTCTGAGCACGACCCACTGGTCCACCTGGGTGTATCCCACGTGCGATGGGTTAAATCTAGAGAAATAATTTTGCCATTGTATAGGAACATACAGTGATGACAATCTTAAACTTCCCTTCTCTTATAGCCATAAATAATTTTTTTATTTCATTCCAAAAAATCATTGGTCATAATTGGTTGTAAGACCATCAGTGTCTGGTGATTTATTTAAACACCATTTTAGAGAGTACCTTCTAATTCCTCTGGTATAAATTCTGACACAGATTTTTAAATGACTGCAATTTGTGGAATCTTATTTTGGATTTTTTTCAAAGAGACAGTCATCTATTGAGAAATGAGTGGAGTATAGATTAGAGAAAAAAATATAGATTTTTATTTCTATAATCTTACTGTCATTGCATTCCTCGTCATTGATCAATAAAGTTGTTATAAAGTTCCTTTGCTGTCTGCTTTTTTCTAAGCAGCTAAAGTACAAAGAATTATTTTCTCCATCTTCAATCCATATTACTCTTGACCTGACATAAGCACCTTGAGCCCTTTGCAAATATAAAACATCTATAGCTTGCAATTCCCATAATGTTGGGACTATTTAAAATGAAAGAGTTAAAAGTTGGATTAATTTCTCTGAATAAATCATTCATACTCTTTTTCCTTCTTCCCAAGTTCTTTGAAATATATAATGTCCAATCTTGTTTTATTTTTCAGTATCTGGAACCTTTACTTAAGAAACATAACCTTGACTCAGGAATCCTAGCCAATTATAGACATATCTTTAATTTAACTTTCATCTAAAAAATTCTAGAGAAAAGGGTTGCAGGTCAGTTGCGTGATCATCTGCAAAGAAATAATCTGAAGAGTTTCAGTCAGAGTTTATAAATGATATTCTCATGGCCTCTGACAATGGACTTGTGTCTACACTGGTCCTGTTAGACCTCAGTGCTGCTTTTGATTTGATTTAATTTCATTATTCATTTTCATGTGGGTTTCAAAAAATACAATATATTATTGTTTTCTGCATTTTTGACTTTAACCTCACATCAAAAATCAAACTTTGGAAAGCTGTCCTGCAGACTTATTTGATTTTGATATTTGTTTTCTATCAAAAGTGTCAAACTAGTACAGCTATTGTACATTTACACAATAGTGTAAACTTCCTCAAAGATCACCAGCGTGTTTTTTTATTGGCATGGTGGCATTTTAAACAGTTTTGTTGCCGTACCCATCCACAGCTAAAACGTGGGTCATGCCGAACATGCCATGCTTCTCATTCTGATCCGGGTGTAGTTTATGACCCATACACTCATGATGGGGGCAGGATTTAGATTCTGAGCACCCTTAATAAAAAATAAAAAAATTGATTATTCCTTTTTAAAATGTTTTTTTTCTTCTTCATAAATCCTAACCTGTGAGGACTGGCTCATTAAGAGCGATATAGTGGTTCAAAAATCTATGAATTTAATATTTACCCCCCAAAAAAACAGTCAAAAATATACTGAGCTCTGCTGGATCCACATCTGCTGCAGTGTAGAGGAAATCTCTGTGTGAGTCTTGCCTGTCTTAAACAACTCTTTGATTAATGCCAAGTGTGTTTCCAGAGAGGCCATGGCGTCGATAGGCACACAAAACACACACACACATTTTTAAAAATCTAGGGGCTGCATGGTGGTAGTGTTAGCACTTTGCCTCACAGCAAGAAGGTTTCCAGTCTGAATCCCAGCTGGGGCCTCTCTGTGTGGAGTTTGCATGTTCTCCCCATGCATACCCTAGAAAATTTTGAATAAAGTATATACCATTTCCTGCATTCTAGTGTATTTTAACAGGCTGTTAAACATCTATGTTTACCAACATAAGTAAACATTTGATTTGATAACTATTTTAGAGAGCATGGCACAAGAAGAAGTAGCCTGACCATCGCTCTCCTTACATGAATAGAGCACGCTCCGCTTCTCTCGTGCATATTAATAACCACCCACACCACCTCGGTCAACAACTGCCAGCACTAACGTTGCACTAAGCTGGTGGCCAACGTGGACTGGACTGACCTTAAAACTGAACTAGCTTTAGATGTACATGTTGTGATTACAAAGTACGTTTTTGAAAGTTTCTATAAAATATATCAATTGTTTCATGAGATATTTTGCTAACAGACAAACAGGGTTGACTAGCAGTTAATGGTGACGTTTTTAAGCAAAAAATGTGGGCGCATCAAGTATCAATTGGAGCATGTGGTGAACGATGCAGATCTACTAACACACCAATTTTTAGTGCACGATCTGTACAACTGTACAAGTTGTAGCCATTTTTGTGCTTTCCAAGGTCAGCTCTCTGGCGGCCATCTTAAATTTTTCATTAATTTCTGGAAGTTTCATTAAAATTTGCCCAGTGGTTTATGAATTATTTTGGTAATGGACACAGACAGAGACGTGCTGCCACTCTGCCTTTGCCTTTCAGCCTTTTGGCAAAAATAATTATTGTGAAGATGAATTATTTGTGATATTTTCTGTCATCAAGGCTCATCACCATGAAATAGGAGGAGCTGAGTTGGAGGATGTTCAGAATTTTTTTTTATATTATTGAGTTTTTATTCTGTATAGGTTTGGGCTAAAATGAATAGCTTTAGGGTGTTGCTAGGCAACATCAAGTAGCTTTAGAAGGACCAATCAGATGTTTGCTTTAGATTCTAAACTTTGTGATGTATCACAGAACAGAAGAGCTAGCATTTACACTTTGGCTCATCAAACTTTCAGACTTCACTGAAAGGTTCACACGAAGATTCATCTTTTCAGACTATTGAAAATGAGCAGGAAGAATGATTCGACAAGAACTCACAGAACTCCAGCCATCGAGAAAGATTCAGGTAAATCAAAAATCTGTGTAAAAATGTTTTGGAGTCATGTTAACTTTAATGTTTTTATTATATATAGATAAAAAGCTAATTAATGAAAAATGTTTTTACATGTGTCACACATAAAAACGTTCTGTGAGAGTTCTCATGTGTAAACCCACAATGAAATACATGTGTTAAAAATATTAAGAGCAAGTTAAATGTGTTTTTGTGTGACAACAACCACTTCACAAATGTGTAAATGTGTTAAAATTGCACATGTGAATTGTGGTTTAAGCCCATTTCAACATGTTCTTGTCATCACATGTACAGTAAGCACTGTTCTCTGATGTGATTACATGTGAACAACATTAAATTAATGTTTTCTCACAAAAAGATTATAAAAATTTAACCAACTGTCAATAATTCACTGCAAACTGAAAATCTTAAACTATGTACGAGTAAAAACAAGATGGCAGAAAACAGATAAGTCAGAAAGCAGAGTTTCTGTTAGAATATTTAAAAAACAACAACATGAATATCATAAAGATATCATTCGTAGTCAAAAATTTCCACAAAAATATTTTTGGTACACACATATTTAAAACACAAATAAATGACTGGATTGAGACAAAGTTGAAGAAAAAACTGTATGTTTCATAAATAGTGTATTTTAAGTTTATATAAAATACACTAAGTAGTTCATGAGATATTTTGCTAACAGACAAACAGGGTTGACTAATAGTTAATGGTGAAGTCAACTGGAGTCTGTGGTGAACGATGCATTTCGACTAACACACCAATTTTTAGTGCACGATCTGTAAAACTGTACAAGTTGTAGCCATTTTGTGTTTTTCACGGTCAGTTGTCTCTGGCGGCCATTTTGTTTTTGATACATTTCTGGAAGTTTCATTAAAATTTGCCCAGTGGTTGATGAAACCTTATGAAACCTTCTGGTAATAGACAGACACAGAGATAGATGTGCTGAAGGGGCTGCGTTTGAGGATGTACATACATTTGTTTTTATATTAGAGAGTTTTTATTGTGTATAGGCTTGGGTTAAAAGTAAAAGCTTTAGCACGTTGCTAGGCAACATCACAAAGCTTTAGAAGGACCAATCAGATGTTTGCTTTAGATTCTAAACTTTGTGATGTATCAAAGGACAGAACAGAAGATCTAGAATTCAGACTTGGGCTGATCAAACTTTCAGACTTCACTGAAAGGTTGACATGAAGAGTCATCTTTGTAAACTAACGTGTTACTGAAGGTTTCACAGTAGAAAGTTCTGACAATGAGCATGAATAACTATTCAACAAACACTTACAGAACTCCAGCCATTAAGAAAGATTCAGGTAAACCAATAACGTGTAAAAACGTTCTGGAGTCATCCAACAAAGTTAAATCAGGTCCACTGGATGTTTTTCTTTTTGTGTTGAAACATTTCATCGTTTATCCAAAGAACTTCATCAGTCTCATAACTGATGAAGTCTTTTGGATCAAAGACAAAACGTTTCAACAAGTTGTTTATTGTTTTTTTTATCCGTCCAGAGGACTTGACTTTGTTAGACTAACAACTGTGTTTCATGAATTTTCAGTTTAGTGAATTAAATGTTTTGTTTTCAGTGGCAAAAGTTTAATGAATTTATAAACAATCA